TTATATTTCCATAACTTAGAATATTTCTAACCCCACCTAGTTTTCAAATCCTTGGGAAATTTGATGAGGTTAGTCTTGATATTTTCACCCAAGAAATAAATATATTGAATGAACCAAGTCCTGGGCCTGCTCTAGGTAATAGGACAGATCCAGAATATCAGGAATTTTTACTGAGAACTCTAATGTTGCAGCCTATATAAAGTGGGAGTGGGACAAAATCTGAGAATTTTCCCCCCAAAAGTGTATTCTCAAACTATAAAAATATCATTTAACAAAAACAAAAGAAAATTTGTTTATTCAAAAACAATAAAGAAGGCTTAGAAGAGAATCTGTGACAGTTTTTGAGAATTGTATATTTCAGTGTCACCAGGCCCAGTTGTTTAACTGCAAGGCAAGTGTTGCAGTGCAATGATGTCAAAGAAAAACATCAACTGTGTCACCAGTGTTTACTAGTATTTTTCTTGGTAGGAAATAGCACTACGAGTGTGTGTGTGAATATGTCAGTGTACTATCTGGGTGGGGGGGGGAACATGAGGGAGGAAGAGTGTGAGCCCGTTGAGATTGCATGATATAAACCTTTCCCAAACAGGGTCTTACAACATTCACTCTATAAATGACCACTTGATTTGGTGGGTAGCTAATACGGTATATTTATTTCACAGTTTCACACCTTAACAGTTGTCCTTATGTAATGCTTAAGTGGGTTTTAGAATTCCTTTTAAATCTTTTTTTTTAATCACAAATATGATTAAACTATATAACTATGTTCCACCTCTTCTAATCCCCCCATTCCCATTAGAAACATTTTGTTTAAAGATCAGGTGATCAAATTCATAGAAACTGAATTGTGAAGAGTATCCTGATGGGAAAAAGAATGAGATCCTATGTATATAGGGCATTACAGAACAGAAATGATCTTCTAAAGCCATAGTTTATTTCCAAAAGGAAGAGTAAAGCCATGCATTTATTAGAAAAGGAAGCTAATGGCAAAATTCTTTAAAGTACTTGAGGCTGAATTGGAAGCCTTTACCTGATACACTCACAAATCACCACTCATGGTGCTGTTGGCTGGGCTTGGCCAAGGAGAAGGGAAAGATGCATACTTGAGCTTCTTACGTTAGGGCGAGACTGGCTGGACTTGGAGAAGACAGTTCACCCACAGCCTAAAGATAGCTTCCATAGCATGTTTCATTGTTACTCAGAAAGTTAAAGACTCAGTGCCAACATTCTCCTGCTCATGCAGGATAAGCCACTCAAAGTAGTCCAGCTAGAAGGATCAGGGATCTGAGCAAGGCCAAGCATACTTGAGCTAAGCCACTTATTCTTGGATAATGCAGCTCGTTATCTAATAAGCATCATTCCTGGTCATTAGAGCACAGGGATAGAAGCTCTTCTTGGAAGGATGCAGGGAATCTTCCTGGAGAATGCTGAGCAGTGTCAGAGTTGCAGAAATGACAGTACGGCAGGAGACTCTCTGACTGTGTCAACCTGGTACTTTTAGTACTTCATCAGTATGTGAATAAAGGTAGCTAGAAAATGGACTTGGTTCTGCAAGTCTTTATGACAACAGTCCATATTAAGACTTACAGATGTAAAAAAAAAAAAAAAAATCCGTGTTGTGGGAAAAGGGCTTGAGCATTGTTTAGGACTGATACGCACATCATAGTAAAATGATAAGATACGTATAATGGGGAAATAAAGCCCCAGAGTCCTTCCAGTCTGGAGAATCCATTATGTCTTAGAAACAAGAGATTTATGCTTGAGATTATTGATCCACTAACTTTTTCTTCACTTACATTTGATTTTTCAATGACAGGACTTATTGGAATTTGGGGACAATTCTGCTATGGTATTAAATAACAATCATTGTTAAAAAGTTATTTTGGTATTGAGTTAGTGAAGTGACTTCCAATGAATTGATATAAATTTCATTTTAATCAAAAACAAAAACTAGAAAATGTTACTCCTTAAATAGGCAGCAATGCATTTTATAAGCACTGCAGAAATTTGGTAAATAGCACGCATGATTAATTTAGAAACAACCCCTGACACTTGAGGGTTACACAATACACGTTACAGTCTCTTTCCCATTTTTTATATGAGGTAAATGCAGACTAGGGAGCCACTGAACGAATAGTCAGCCCCAAGTAGGTCTATAATCTTAGGCTCCATGGGATGTCCTTTACAAAGATGAAAGAGGAATGGGCTGATATTTCTATTATAAGATCCTGTAATGCTAGGATTTCTACAAAGCTTAGAATAATGGTTGGGTGTTCATTCATTAAGGAGAAATGCTCAAATATTATTTTAGTCACATGTAACACCTTTGGGTTAGGGTGCACACTTAGCTTAGATTACCATTTACATCATTACCTTATTCTGTTGAAAACATATGGCATGCAAAAAATTCAACATTGTCTCAAAAATACATGTAGTATGCCCAGTAAAATACATTGGCTAACATAAAAATCAAAGGAAACAGTAATTTGGAATATCGATCAACATTACTGGGGTTTTGAATTGTGAAGTAATCAACAATTCTGCCCATCTTATCTCGAAAAACAAACTTGAACTTGTCACTGGTTTTCATTGTCAAGTCACTATAGTCTACGTTATCACCGGAAATTTCAATGCTGGCAAAGCTGATCTTGCGTTTAAAGTTGGAGATGGAGCTGTTGATGATGTTAGTGATATTGACTTCTTCCACTTCCTTTGCTGTCCCCTAGTTCACAGACAATGCAGTTAGCTTATAAGACTTGACTCAACAAAATAAATAAGTAGGTAATGAGCTAATGAAAAGTTTAGAGGCTCAAGTATTGAATAATTAGGTTTAATAGAGAGTGGCATTGTGAGTCTCAGAAACGGGCTAGTAAGCCAGATGTGGAGTCCTGTTATCCTGTCTGTAGGCAACTATCCATAGGTGATCAGCATGTATGATGGGAAGAATAACCATTGCCTGCTCTAGATATTTCAGAGCAGTGTGCTAAATGCCAAATGGCTTTGAAGTTAGCAGACTTGGGTTCAAATCCCATTCTGCCTCTCACTATTGTGAAACTTTAGTCACCTTAATCCCTTTAAGACTCAATTTCCTTGCCTGCAAAATGGTGATGATATTAATACCTATTTGAGATGGGAAGATTACATGGTATCAATGATGCAAAGCATCTAGTGTTTGAAGAGAGTAACTGGTTATGAGAAATAAGAGAAATCAGCTGTATCTTTTTTTTTTTTTCCTTTTTATCTTTTTTTTACCAACCGGTAACGGGATTGCAACCCTCGGTGTCGCGCCCGCACTGGGGACTGGCAACGGGATCGCAACCCTCGGTGTTGCGCCCGCACCGCGCTCAACCAGTGAGCAGGAACCGGTCTCCACATGGGATCCGAGCCCTTGGTGGGAGCGCCACCGCACTCCCAGGTGGCGCACTCTCCAGTGCACCACCGGGCCGGCCTTTATTATTGTTATTTTTGTTGTCATGTTTGTGATTGGTGTTACATTGGAACTTGTCCATACCAGTTAGCTTGACTGTGTCACGAAACCACAGATAAAATTTCTTACCCAAAGACAATAATATTAATAGCTAATTCATGTTAATTAAAATTTAAATTGCATGTTTTATACACATAATCTTGTTTAATATTCACAATACTATGAGGTGGTAACTACTAAATATATAGTATATGTATGCTGTATATAACTAAATATATGTATATATACTATGTAACTAAATATATAGTATATATACACTATGTTTGTATATCTAGAGTATTTATATCTATATATGTGAAGACAGAACTTTTGTTTCCTTTGTTGAATTTCTCTCTCTCTACTGATACTATTTGATGAGACATTGTCATCGTCCCTCTCTTTACTTCTTAAAGCATAGTTTTCTTTAGTTTTTTGAACGTATTCATCATAGCTGCTTTGCAATCTTCGTCAAACATGACACCTGGGTTCTGTCATGGGCAGTGTCTCTTCCTGTCTGGGTCACACCTTCCTTTCTTTGCATATCTCATAATTTTTTGTTGAAAACTGGACATTTTAGGTAACACACTGTAGCAACACTGAATACTGATCCACCTGTGTTCTGGTCTTGTTTCTGCTATTTAATCACGCTTGTTTATTTGTTTAGTGACATACATGGGCCACCTTAGCGAAGTCTGTTTCTCCCACAGCCTGAAGCCTCTGAGGTAGCTACTAGAGGGCAGCACCGGGCCTGTGCATAGTCACGCTGGACGACAGCGGTTTTAGCAGGTTCTATTTGACTTCACCTTTCCTCTGTCTCTCTCTACAGTTATTTACATGGGTTGGTATTATACCCAGCTGTTAGCCTCCATAACTGATGGCTCACTATTCTATGTTTTTGACAATGTCCTGAACATAAATTTTCCACAGTCATTTGGGATCCTTTACAGGGATAGTTTTGGGGACTGTTGTGAGTTTTTGAGGGCTGTTATGACCCCAGGAGGTCTCTTCTTAGTCTCCTTTTTCATTTTCTCCAGTACTAACCCTTGGCTTGGTGTCGCCCGCACCACGCTCAGCCAGTGAGCGGACCGGCCATGCCTACACAGGATCCGAACCCACGGCCTCGGCGCTCCCAGCACCGCACTCTCCCTAGTGAGGCCCGGGGTCGGCCCGGGTGATGTGGTTTTCTAAATGTTTCACCTCTGTCTTCTCCTTGGAGGGGGAATGACCAGTATGCGAAATAACTGACAAAAGACCATCTAATCACAATATCCCCTTACCTGTCACTGTAATACATAAGTTTTAAAAATGTGCTATTCCTAACATAGTCTCTCTCTGTCTCTCTTTCTCCTTCTCTGACTCTCCGTTTCTTTTTCTCTCCCTGTAAAAGAATCTCTCAAGAAACCAACTCCTGGAACTGCCCTGTGAATGTCAATGTAAACAACAGTAGAAGGAAAAAAGAAAAAAAACAACCAACCAAACAAACAAAAAAACATGATAACCCAGGTCTCAGAAATCTCCTGTTGGAGCTGCTTACCAATGCACGTTCTCGCAGGAACTGAGTCAAGGGAGATCCAAAACGAAAGCCAGGATAACACCACCAGGAAAGTAGAAGGAACATAGGTTTCCAAAATGAAATACAGGACATTCCTCCGAAGTTCAAATTGCAAGACCAGTCTTGTGTAATTTCCTGACAGGGTAAACAAGAGATAGGAAATTGTGTCTGTTCACATAGAGTGTTTCCCTATGGGATGTCTAACTTAGCTATGTTCTCATTAAGCCCACTGTTATTCACCAAAATCTAGTTAATTATGAACTATCATTATGGTTTCCACAAAAGAAATTGCTGTTGCATAGAAGGGAATTTTGAGGGGGTGCTTTTCCCCCGGCTCACGTTCTTTTCTTGTGCCTTTTGCTATCACAGCATTCCTACAGCATCGTAACTCCTTGTGTCCTTGGCATCTACCTCACTAGACAGTGAGCCCATTGGAGGCAAACCCTGGATCGTTCAGTTCTTCACTCCAAAGTTGTTCAATTAATACCTATTTAATGAAGACCACCTGTGACCATCCATTTTGCATGAATGCTATGGAATAGACCAAATATATCTATTAAATATAATTTAATTTTTGATGATTTCAGAGGCACCCCAGATTTTATGGTACTTCAGGGCCATCCTTAGGAAACTATCAATATATTCTAAATGTGGGAAATGTAAGGAACAGAGAGCTGCCATTAATAGAATTCTGTATGGCAAATAAGCTCCTGTAGCCTAAAACATATGCCTATGGGTTAGAGTACCAACCTATGCTCCTGCAGTGCTTCTATTAAGGGGAGGTGAGCAAATAGAGACAGAGCAGTAGTAGCCAGCATTAGGCTGGATGGAAGGGTGAAGAGGTTATCCTCTGGGAACAGGAGACATTTAGCTTAGAGAGGAGTAGGGGACAAAACAGAATGGTGGATAAGAGCAGCACCAACACCGTGCCACCTGCAAATTAAAGCCAGGCATTTAAAATTATATCATTAAATAAGTGGGACAAAAGGTTGAGAAACAGTCCAACCCAAGCCTGGCTATCAAATGCAGGAATAGGAATACTAGGGGATCCCTGATAACCTGTTTCAAGTCCATCCACTCCGATGGCCCCAGCCTTTACTGGTTCAAGGGCATCTCCAAGGATGACCCAGTTTGACCATGTAGGAAATAAAGTAAAATCATAATAGTAAAATAAATAAATAAAATTGTATCATTAAATAGCTAAAACAGTGCATACATTACTGGAGAAATACAGTATAGCATAAAAATATGTACTTTCAGAGCCTGATGGGATTCTAGAGATTGATTATAATAAATAAATAAAATTGTATCATTAAATAGCTAAAACAGTGCATACATTACTGGAGAAATATAGTATAGCATAAAAATATGTACTTTCAGAGCCTGATGGGATTCTAGAGATTGATTACTATTTTACATTATTGGTGGAGAAATTGAGGTACTGGGACTTTTAGTGACTTGAATAAGGACCTGTCGTTGATGTTAGAAGCAAGATTAAAAACCATGTCTTTTGCCCTTTGGTCCAGGGATGTGCTATTGGCCTCTGTTCCCTGCTTTATTTTCTTGATTTGGAAAGTCAATATTTCAAAAAGCATTTAGAATTAATATTTAACTAAATAACAACACTCCTGTGTATCTAAAGTAGGTATGTGCTGCCTGGACTTAAATAATTCTGAAAACTGACTCCATTTTTTGCATGAACTCAAGTTGAGAATCCAGCTTTGTTGAATTATGACAGGATAATCCTAATTTGCAAACTTGTTTTTAAAATATAAAGTTTATTTATTTGTCCATTATGATAGTAATACATGCTAATTACTTAAATTTTGGAAAAAAAAGAAAAGTGGGAAACAGTTACCTTTCCTTCCAGTCTTTTCTCCATGCATAGCCTTCAGTTTCTAATTTTTATGTAGTCATGATCATGGTGTACATATGATTTTTAATGTCATGTAGGATCAACTAAAATACTTAGTAATTTTTCCAGGGTGCAAATGTTAATGAGAATAAGCATTCTTAATATTATCACAAGGAAGTGAGAAGAAAATGCCAACTGCTTATGTATAAAATCACATGTTTTGGAAAATATCTATCTAAAAACACCACAGACTAAGAGATCCAACTCTGGTAAATGATGCAAACAAGAAATTCCTCCTGCCAAGTTGCAATAATTAGAATGTTTGTAATCTTGTTGGGTGCTGCTGCTGTCTTCTTCACCTGTGAGCTATCTTATTTTTATTCTTTAGCGGCAGAGAACCAGCGCTCCAGTTAGAAACAGAGTAAATTTTATGCATGAAAGAGGCACGTAATTTGAGCAATTATTAGAAAATATCTGGAGATAGATAGTTTTAGGCTTCAGAACTGATCCAGAGGTGTGCTCCTCAGTGGACCATTTCAACACTGTGAAACATAGAAGTGCCGAGCCTAAATCCTACTCCCCACCCTCCCTCCCCTGCCCAGCCACCTCTACTGGACCCCAAAGGGGTAAAGTGGAGAAGAGATGACATTTCTGACTCAGAGGGCAACTCTCCACCTTGGTTTGGTTATTTTTATTTTATGCAGTTTGTCACACGAGTTACCTGTCTCCTGTTGGGTTCTGGTGACTAAGGTGAAATACTGTTGTATGGTGTACTGAGCCAGCCGCAGGTTTTCTAGCCCACGCACAGAGTCGTTCCCTCTGAGCCAGGTGAACTCCACGTCATTTCCATCATAGCCCCCTGGCAAATAAAATGAAGCCTTGGTTAGTGCATGAATGTTATAGATTGAACTAGTCTGAGACAGCTTGAGCTCCATCTTGATGATGGTAAGTCCAAGGATGATTCTATGCAAAACTTGGTGTGATTGCTCAAATGTAGTTGTGGTGTCTATTCAGAATGCAGCAAACCGCTAGGACTATTTGCTATCAATTGAGAATTGGTCATATGCTATGCATTGTATAGACCTGGCAGATGATAAGCCTTAGAAGTGGCCTCCTTCATTTATCGAATACTTATCCATGAACACCCAAAGGCCTAGGCTAGATATTGCCTTTCGGGACTGTCTAACAGCTCTGACAGTGCTTCCAGGGACTTTAGAACTGATCTGTTCATATTTCCACATTGGCATAAATGCAGCAACAAAAACAAAAAACCTGCAGCCAGCTGCTGTATTGATGTCCATAGACGTAAGTTTGCTAAATCTCAAAGCAATTTTACTAATAAAGTGGATGATAGTGAAAAGTTACCTTTAATTAAGCACTTATGTTACTAAATGCCTGTATACATTATGTTGCTGATGTTCTTATAAACTTGCAAAGTAGGCGTTACTACGTTTCTTCAATTCTAAGATGAACTTTTTTTTTATATTTTCTGAAATTGAGATGGATCTGACAGTTGATTTATATATGTAAATTAGAGCTTACACATTTTTCCTAAAATGTTATTATTCAGTAAATGCTGTTCCTTAGAATTGAGGAACAATAATGACCTTCCCACTTCATTCATGAAAACTCTCAGATACAGAGAGGTTGCATAATTTTTCTCTGGATAAGAAGGCAAGCAAGAAACAAAGGAAGTATTGTACCTCAGAAAAGTTTAATTTCAAAGCCTATGGGTGATGATAATAATAATGTCTATCATTTAGTAAGCAATTACATTTCTAAGTGCTTTACAACATTACCATGTCACTTACTCATTAAACGTCTCCTTGAGAAGATATATGAATGGTTAATAGCACATAAAAAGATGCTCAACGTCACTAGTCATTAGAGAAATCAAAATCAAAACCACAGTAAGATACCACCTCACACTCCTTAGAATGACTATAATAAAAAAAGACAGACAATAACAAATGGAGGGAACATGGAAAAGCTGGAATATTACTGGTGGGAATGTAAAACGGTACAACCACTTTGGAAAACAGTAACAGTTTGGCAGTTTCTTAAAAACTTGAATGTAAATTTACCATTTGATCCCACATTCCACTCCTAGGTATCTGCCCAAGAGAAATGAACTCGTGTCCACACAAAGGCTTACACACAAATGTTCATAGCAGCATTGTTCATAATAGCCAAGGGTGGAAACAAATCAAATGTCCATCAACTGGTGAATAAATAAATAAAATATAGACATATATGTGTACATATGTATATGTGTATATGTGTGTGTATCTATGTTAAAAAAATACTACTCAGCAATAAAAAGGAATGAAGTACTGATACTTGCTGCATGCATGAACCTCAAAAACGTTAAGCTAAGTGAAAGAAGCCAGACACAAAAGCCCACAAATGTGCATTTGTATTGTATTCTATTTGTATTGATTCCATTTACATGAAATATCCATAAAAGGCAAATTTATAAAGACGGAAAGTAGATTAGTGGTTGCCTGAGAAAGTAGATTAGTGGTTGCCTATGAGCTGGTAGTAGCAATGGGGAATGACTGCAAATGGGCATGAAGGTGATAAAAATGTTTCTTTGGAGTGATGAAAAT